AAAAAAAAAAAAAAAAAAAAAGAAAAAGAAAAAAGACTGTACTTAGTGTGCCGAAGAAGAACTCTCTAGAACTCTCTACCGCGCCGGAGCCGGCGCCGGCGAATGGCGGCCTACCATCGGATCTTACAGTGGAGACGGCACTGGCTTTGTTTTTTTTCTTCTGTGGTAATCATTTTTTTGATGCAGAGCATAGAGAAAGTCAATCTGGTTGCGGCGTTTGTGCGAGGCATGAGAGTTGACGATGCCTTGATGCAGTGCGTTGTGTCGACGAAGCGGGCCGCGAAAGATGTTGCAAAGGCACGTAGCGTGCTGGTGTTCTGCGTTTTCAGTTTTGGGTGACGTCACAAGGAATGGGAGAGGAAGTGAACAAACGGAAATGAAGAGACGAACTAAGTAAAAGAATGGGAGGCAGAAAGGAAAAGGGGATAGAGAGAAGTGGGGAAGAGAAGGAGGGAGGAGGGACAGGCAGGAGGGGAGAGGGAGGGGGGGGGAGGACGGAAGGAGAGGAGAGGAGAGGAGGGCAGGGAAGTTATGGAGGCTGGTCCTTTCCACGATGATATTTCAAGGCTGTGTCTGCGGCCCTTTTCGAAAAAAGAAAAAAGGAGGGGGGAAACATTCAAAAAAAGAAAAAAGGGATTAGGGGAATTTAGGGCACAGAGAAAGGAAGAAAGAAAGACGAGAAAGAAGAAAGGGAGGGAGGAGGGGCAAAAAAAAACAGGAAAAAAAAGAGGGAGGAGGCACTGAGGCAGGCAGGGAGAAAGGAGGGRGGGRGGGAGGGAGGGAGGGAGGAGGGTTGGAACTGGTGAAGGAGGGAGGGAGGGAGGTAGGGTGGAAGGAGGTGTGAACTTGTTTTTCTTGTACATTTTTACTTGCATTTGCTTGCATCTTTGGATTTGTACCTGGTTACGAGTGTGGAGAACTCCTGTCGGTTTCTGGATTGCATAATTGAGTTTGTGAGATCTTTTTTTTATTTTATTTTTATATATATATATTTGACGATATATATATATATAAATCAATCGACTCAAGTTGAGTATTTGTGACGATATATATATAAATCAATCGACTCAAGTTGAGTATTTGGGCCTTGCTGCACTACTCAGCACATGCAGAAAAGACAAAAAAAAAAAAAAATGCCGGTGTATCTTCCCATTTTCTAGCGGAAGATTCATTCTCATTTTGCGCATTTGGTGAGCAGTGGAGCGAGGCCCTTTCTGCTTTGCATCCAGTTGTGTGTGTGGTTGTTAACGTAAGCTCTACCAGTTTGTCGCTCTCACGTGGTTTGTTGTTGCAGTGCCATGCAACCGAAACGAATATTCAAAAGCCTCTTACGGAGTCTTACCTCATTCTCTGCAGCTAAGGTGCTGAGGATTTGGCATGAAGCTCTGACGGCACAAATGAGGTGGAAGCATATGTCGCTTCTGAAATAAATTGTATGAGCGACATATGTTGGGCATCCTTCAATCTGACGGCAATCTGATGCTCTGCCGTCAGATTTACCTGATCATCCAATGTGATGTTCTGCCGTTAGATTTACCTGATTCTCCAATCTGACGCTCTGTCGTCAGATTTGCCTGATCCTCCAATCTGACGCTCTGCCGTCAGATTTCGTTGATCATTCAATCTGACTTTTTGCAATAAGATTTACAATTTTACACTGATTCTCTAATCTGACGTTCTGCTGTTAAATTGACAATTTTTCACCGATTGCAATCAGATTTACACTGATTCTCTAATCTGATGCTCTGCGGGTACTAGAGCCTCGAATCTGACGCTCCTCATTCACTTGATCCTTCAATCTGACGCTCTGCGTGTACTTTATCCTCCAATCTGACGCTCTGCCTTTACCTGATCCTTATCGGATCCTCCAATTTGACGGTCTGCATTTAGCTGTTTCATGTCCTGCATACCATAAGAGGATGTAAAAAAAAAGGAAAAGAAGGGGAAAAAAAAAAAAAAAAGTCCCTTGGGACATCCGTCACAATTGGAACGATATGGAGAATGAAGATTAGCATGGCCCCTGCGCTTTCAAGGATGACATGCATAAATCAAGAAATGGTCCAAATTTCTCCAACTTAAAAAAAAACAAAAAAAAGAAGAAAAAAAAGAGAGAAAAAAAAGAAAGAAAAAAAAAGAAGAGGGAAATTCAAAAGCACTCTCCGCCTCTTTCGATCTACCGTCCTCATCTGAGTAACGCACGGTCGTTCTCACTGTATGTAGACTGAAAGTGACCCTAAATACAGATGTAATAACCATACGCTTTATTCGCATGAAGACGGTAGATTTTTTGCTGTTATAGGGTGAAACTCTGACAGCTTCAATGAGGCTGGAGAATGACTGGAGCAGTTTTTGTATGTTTGATTACCTCCAATTGAACACTCTACATTTTCTTTCTGTGCATTTTCCCACGTCAACGTAATCCTGCAGAGAGTCTATGTCGTTGTGACAGTTGCTCTCAGGAACCATTTGTTGTTCTCGAGTGGTCACTTCCTGCACGGGGCATGCTAGTACAAACTGGCTCCCTTCAGCTGTCTCTTTTCCCCGAACCTTAAACCCTTCTCCATCAACCGTAAAATCTCTAAACCCTAACTTCAAGTCCTAAGCCCTAGCACGAGTAGAATTTCTCTCTTACTCTTCTCTGCTGCGGCTGCATCTGTTGGAGCATCTCTCTCTCTCTCTCTCTCTCTCTCTCTCTCTCTCTCTCTCTCTCTCTCTCTCTCTCTCTCTCTCTC